GTCATGCATCACTAACGGTTATCCGGACAAGGGGTAACTCAGGCACGACATATATAGATAAAATACTGGGAACTCTAATCCCCAGGCCCCTCTCCCTAACGCTAACCCTATAATCATAAAAATTTGTTTTTAAATTAAACCCGAGTACAAACACCTGGTGTTTGCTTAGTTTAGTTTTATAAATATCGGTTATACAGTATAATTTGATTGGTCGATTATCATGTGTAATAACCAATTAGAAGATCCTCCGATCTATTATAATATGATAAATGCAGCTCTTTTTTAAACATGCAACTAGAGAATCTTGGATGTTACAGATTTTATTGTTTCGACAAGAAAAGGTGAAACAGGTTTTTAATATGAATTAGATGCATCGGGCATTTATCATATCTGGCAGAAAACTTTTCTATAATCGATCGATCGATATTACTAACACTAATTTGTTCCCATCAGGATGATGTAATAATAATGTCAATAATGTCCTGGTTTTACTTTCGTGTAAAAAAAGCGGTTTAATACAATAACATAGTGGCCCAGTTTTAAAAGGAAAAAGGGTATTGTTGATTTATTTGCTGTGATACAATAATGAACTATACAACCAGTGTATTTTTAGATTATGCACAAGGGTTGCATGAACCATAAACCTTGTGTCGTGTGTCTTTACCTCAGTCGGGTCCTTTTCATTCTAGCCTATCATTATTCGTATATAAAGTATTTTTCACGAAAAAAAAAATATATTTTTAAAAAATTCCTCTCTTTTTCTTAAAAAGAAGCAAGTCACAAAGCATTTTTTTTAACTTGGTTTTTCTATAAATTCTCTGTTTCCTTTTTCAACTGCATTTTACTATAATTGAAAATAATTTTATTTTTAATAAATATATTTTAGTTGATTCTTTATATATAATTCTCAACTTAGCAGCGCTTTTGAGACTTTTACTGAAATATCAAGTTACTTTTAATAACTATTTCTTTGAAAATGCATCAATCCCTTTCAAAAACGATGCCTGTTAATACTTCACGCAAGTTATGCGGTGATGATAACAGCATGCAAATACCAACTCTTTCTTATTCTCCCCATTCTTATTCTTCCTCTCGTTCAATGTCTCCTGAGCCAAGCTTCGATCCTATAATAAATAACTCACCTCATCGAATACCTACTTTTTCATATATTCCGATACATAAGAGACGACGCTCTGGTGGTCCTGGTTTCACGCTCATCCGTTCATTATCCTTAAATGCTCTCTCAATGTCTGCTCCCCAATCCTTCAAAGATACTGGAGGGCTGTTAACTCCAAATTCTTCCGTACATACTCCCGAAATACCTTCCACTCCAACTTCAATTTATTCCATAACTGATAATACTTCGAAATATACCAGTTTTCCTAACTTAGAACACTTCACTGATGAATGCTGGACTGAAGTTCGTGTTGAAAAAAGGAATAGCATAAGTGAATTGGAGATGGAAAGCTATGATGAGATGCTCGTAGGAGGTGTCCGTTTTCAATATTCATGACATTTTATGCGCTTTGCAGTTCTTGCTTCTTTCATTGATAGGCTTGTATTTGTGAGCTGGTCATCTCTTTATCAAGTTTCTCATAATAGACAATTTAGATTTCAGAGCTTTCGATCTCTTAAAAACTCATTTAATATAGTTTAATAATTTTTGACTTTCATTTATTCTTAATTCTATAATCCTTTAATATTTACTATTTTGTTCATTGATATTTATCATTTGAACATTATTTCAAAGTTATTCATTGTACAAATTGATTAAATTCTAAAAAAAAATTTACATTAACATTTTTTTTTTTTTTTGAGAGCTTTATTTTTTTTTTTCTCAAAAATTGTATAAAATTTAAATTCAACTTTTCGTTGTTAAAAAATAGCTTTACACAAGGATATATTGTAATAAAACAAATAAAACAAAAAAAAAATAATAAAATTTAAAAAATTTTTTTAAAAAAAAAATTTGAAATTAATAATATTTTTTTATTCGTTATTATTAAAAATTTTTTTAAATAACTTGTAATTAAAAATTTTTTTGATTTTTAATATCTGATATTAATAAGGCTACGTATATAAACTGATATTTTTGGTTCTCATAACCGGCTGGGAAAATTTTTAACTACCGATATATTTACTATTCGGGTTGGTTTTTATATATAAAATTTTTTGAAAATAAAATTAAAAGCCGGGTTATTTTCTGTTATAAGAACCAAAAATACCAGTTTGTATAGTATTTATTTAATTTGGCTTAAATATATT